TAAAAATCTCCCTGTTCCCACCTGAGATTAACCCTCTCATCCCTAAGAGTGACTAGCATTTATTTCTTCTTGCAGCATCACGGCTGAATCAAACATTAAGGTCCAAAGAATAAAGGAAATGATAAACAACTAAAGAAACTCATGATCATCTGACAAATTCATTTTGTCAGCACCCTAAGAAATGTATAGAGAACAGTACATGGAGAATATGCATGCTGATGTTTGGGTGGAAAAGGTTACATATATGCATGTAAGCTTTTGATGATTGTATAAATACTTTTAGATGACTAAAATTATCTAAAGGTCTGTAGAGCAATAACTACAAAAAGTGTGTCTCACCTATTTGTCCAACAAACTCTATCTTTATACCATGATGTTCCAGTTTCTTTCCGGGGACTTTTAAATTGACATTCACCTGTTCAGAAAATCATAAACAAGAATTCATCATCCTCTTTCAACTGCAAAGGGAAATCCTTGCATTCAGAACACCATGAGCAAAACAGCTTACTCAATGCCTGCTGACCTGTCGAGAATCATAACGTTCTTGCAAACATCCCATTCAATAATTTTTCAGAGGAAAAGGAAAAGAAACAGTTGGAAGCAGCATACTCATATGGTTTGAGGTGCTATATTAGAATCAAGCACTTCAATTATCGTAACATTAACTCTGCCAGTAAACTTGTTTTTTTCCTTAAGTTTGTACATCTAGTGCCAAGTTCAACTCCTTCACTATGCCTCACACAAATCCAAGTAAATTGTACAATTAACAGCCCTGCTGCTCTATTTGCTCATTCATTTAGCCTTGTTTAAAGGGTAATGATGCATGTGTTACATGGACACCTACACAAGGTTAAATCTTGATGTATCTGGACAAACTGACCAGAGTTTTAATTATGGCAATATTCCTTTGTGTTACTGGTAAGGCCTTGCTTTAAATGAAAATTAACAAAAACTGCCTCTTGCTGTATGGGAATCACTAGCTTTGGAGACTTACACATATGTGAAGTACACACAAAACAAGGGCATACATCAACCCACTCCTCCCCCTTCATAAACTGCCAGCTCAGCCTACTCAATCCCAATGGTCTAACATCTAGACTTTAGCAACTCTCTAAACCACAATGGTTTGTTAGAAATAATACACAAATCAATGATAAGATCTTAAGCGCTTGTAGAAGAAATCAATTAAAATACAACCGTGCAGACAATCTGGCTATAGGGGAAAGCATGCACCGTTTAATCACGGTTTAAATAGCATTTTCATTATAGACATACAGTCTAATAACATGCAAATCACATTAGAAAGACGGTGATTTGTCATTTCATCGATTATCAGAGCTTCCATCTTGAGTAAGTCGAACGAAAGAAACGGTTTTTGTGATTTTAGAACACTTGGGATCGTTAAACCCACTTGCCCGAAGGAACTGAGCAGTTTCTGATCTTGTCACGATTCACATGTGATTTAAACCACGGCAGCTACAGGTCAGTTCCTGTACATGGTTCAGATCAACATCATGTTACAACAATAAGCAAATCAGCAGATTGCTGTACAGCTTTTACCTTGCCAGATACGGTTTCCCCGTCATAGTACAAAAACAGTCTCTCTTTTTTCCCGTCTTCGTTCTTCACGTCTACTTGCTTACGGTTTGCGGAGTTAGACAGCTGAATTTCCACTTCGGCAGATTGGCCGAATCCAAAAAAGCTCTGTGAATAAAGAGCGGAATCACAACGGTGAAACAATTCAATAAAAGCCGGTGCAAATTTCGGTTCTCACTTTGAGCTACATACCATTTTGAAAGTGGAATACTACAAACGTATTGGTGATATCCAAGATGGCTTTCTTCCTCCTAATTAGCCTCGCACTGATACACTGATTCACTGACCAGGGGTGGGTAGACACGGGCAGCCTCTACGATGTTCTCCACCCTAGTATCGTATAGAATAATATCACATGACGAGGTGGCCGAGTGGTTAAGGCGATGGACTGCTAATCCATTGTGCTCTGCACGCGTGGGTTCGAATCCCATCCTCGTCGCACCGAAGGGTGACTTTTGCCCCTATTTTAAATAACTCTCATAATGAGAGTTTGTTTCTCGTGAGCTGGGAGAAGGATGTGATTTATAGCAAAAAAGAGCCAGTCAAATAGCCAGGATCATCAATGGTTTCAAAGTAGGCCGGATGTTGAATACGAAAGTGGGTCGACAACATATAGTTTGAGTAAAGACAATTTGCACAGGTAGCCCAGTGATTTCAACTGAAAATTGCAATAAAGAAGCAATTGCTACTTTTTTTTGGAGGCTGACATCAGCAGTCTTCAGGAAATTGTATTTGCTCCAAACTGCACTCGCACAATCATGTGACTACTTATTGATAGCAAGCATCAAAAAATTTTAACACTGCTGTTAACAATTATGATGAGTCAAAGATCGGAGAAATAATGAAGTTCAGTCGTGTAAATGTAATCGTGAATGAATTTATCATTGCGACCAATTGTAGTGGCAGTGTATATTTCCTTGTCTTTTGTTTTGTGTTTTCAAATTTTCATCTTTTGTTCTTAATCAAACATTTTTTCCCATTGTTTTTTACAAAAAAGTTCACTACCAGGCCAAACAGTTTTTAATTTTTTATTTATTCATTAGTTTTCTTTTGCATTAAATTAACTCTTTCTGATACTGGGATGGCTCTCCTGCATTGTGTCACCTGAAAACTGCACTCTTCTGAGCCGATCAGCGAGGATGATTTTATTTATTTATTTATTTTTTTACGTTTCGTGTATTAACATGATTTTGTATCAAAGCGCGATAAAATAAAACTGATGACAAAACAATATTTACTGCAACAAAGAAAATAAATTTAAATTACGTACTTTAATTGTAACAAATATTGCAAAATGAGCCGATGATCTGGAGGAGTAGCGGTGAAGATGAGGGGGGAGGAGACTTAGAGTCACAGAAAGCTGTCAGATGTGCTTTACAACACCTAACAGAAGACTTGGAGCAAACACCATAAGGCATGGAAGATTTATTTTAATTGGAAAGGACTCCAAACCACAACTCTAAAAACTTTGTTTTGTTCCTTTTTTTGCACTTTTAATGACGCAGACTATTATATCCAAACAATCTAAACAGCAGTTGCCGATCCCATCACAAAAGCAATAAATCCTCCTTAGCTAAGAGTTTTTCTGGGGTTAACTGTTAGCCATAAAACGGCCAAAAAAATTAGCCGTTAAGCTTTGAAATGTACACATTTTGAATGACAATCTTAAAAAAAGTTAACGGTAAAAAACTTTATTTTAATCACGAAGTTAAGGTTAGCCGTAAAATGGCCAAAATGTTAAGCGTTAGCCTTAGAAGCTATCACCCCATTAAAACCCTTCTAGTTTTCAAGAGGATTCCCAATCTCAGATGATGCCGCGATCAAGTTGGGTAACCTGACCAAATCTGGCGAAAACAAAAGCAACTAACAAGAGATTTACAACGCGAAAACGCAGCAAAATATTATCTGTAATGAGTGCTTTATTTTTCATACTACTCAATGAAAAAGTCACCATTTTTAGTCACGTGCGTCGTTGTCGTGAGGATGAATACTTAGAGCTAGCATGTCTTTGTATAAAAAGTTCACATACAACCAGTACTGGAGAATCTGTTGCAGCGTCAAGAAAAAAAAAACAAATTTCAACCCGTATGTACTCGTATGTGTTTGTATGTCAATTGTATGTATCCCATGTTACGGTATAATCTAACCGACAGAAAAACACTACAATCCTACAAATTCAACTACTTTATTAAACAACGAGTATCTTCTACGGAAGAGAGAGCGACTCCTAAAGGTAGTACAGTACTCATGCTTGATAAACTTACTCAAGCCCTCTACAGTCTATATATCTTAGCTCACCACTCCAACGTTTCTTGAAACAGTCGGTCACTCCCACAACAGTCCTTATATACATTTGCAAAGTGTTCTGAAACGTTCCAGAAGCTTACAAAAGAACTATTTAAGTTGTATTACGTAATAACTGTGTGACTTAATGAAATGTTCGAGAAAGTTCTATGGTACGAATGTCAGCATGACTAAGCAGTCTGGAGATTTCTAGAAGCTTATCCTTATATCAACAATTACTTATAACACCGTATGTAATCGTATATATCCGTATGTTATTCGTATGTCACTCGTAGTACTCGTGCGGTGTTTTAGTCATTATCTTTTTTTTTTTCTTTCCTTCCTACCAGCGTATGTTTTCGGTATTAATGCACGACGCCAGTGGTCTGATCAATAAACCAATGTGGTAATTTGGAGACCTTGAACTTGGCATTGGGATTGACACGCACACATTTGCGGACCTCTTTTTTTTAAGAGCTGCGTGAAGTAATTTGAGTCTCTTACGTCGTGAATTTGTCGCCTGTTTTTCTTTGAATTTAAGACTTTTCGAAGGTTTTATTCACAGCTAATGTACGATGCAAATTGGTACTCCAAGTAAATCTTTATTTACGGCATCGATGTGTGTTGTATTAACAGTACATAAAGGGGGAGGGGTAGAATTTATGTTCGTTTGAGCATAGCGGATTAGAACTTAGTTTACCTCAAAGATCCGTTCATTTCTCCAACCACGTGACCAAACCTCGAGGGCTGTGAAACTGCAGAGTGGTGGGACTTGACCCATTGATCTCTCATGAAAGAGCTCTACCAGCTGAACCAACTCGAAATGTTCATGGGATTTGCGCTTGCAGTTCGGGATTGAGTAGAGTAAGAGTTCAGAAGATATATATTTATTTTAGAGAGAGAGAAGAATGTTCGCAGTGATCGGTAAATCAACTAACATCTATTTCTCTCATTATGGCAATGGTTATAATTTATTCGTATTTTTGCAAAACATCACTTCACCGATGTTATGACAATTAAATTGGCATTTATTAATAATGAATGCCTCAGTTTCATTTCAGCTTCTCGTGCGTCCAATGTTTCTTTAACACTTTTTCTCAGACTTTAAAAGACATGAAGACATGATCACTCTTGAAGTTAAAGTAGCATCTGTAATGTTCCTGTTGAGAATGCCTCATTTCTTACATGCATTTTCCCAAGTTGGTAAGTAAATTAGACTTTAAATGCTAGTTAGCTCGGCCTCAGAATCATAAGCAGTATGGTCTGACGGGGAGGAAACTTAAGAACCGTAGTAGACTGGCAAGTGTTCGCTTGACATGTTCGACTTGTAATTTTTTTTTCTTCATTTTTTTTCCGAATCGTAATTCATGATCACGTCAGCAGGGCAAATCAAACATTCATGTTAATTGTAAATGTTGATATCTTGGTTTAAATTAACAACAGTTTTGATGAGTATACATTTGGCTCTTTATTTAGGCTAGCCCTCTTAATGAATTCGAGATCTATTACTTAAATAAACATCGAACTATTTATATCCTTGATTACGCCATTTACCAAATAGACGTATTCTAGTTAAAAATAATTCGGCTGAATCTTGTTTTAAAGCTGTCAGATCTGAAATCAGATTTCACACTAGCCCTGGAATATCTTAAGCCAGCTTTAAACAACCCGGACCAGCTCTTTATCCGAGTTTTTGTAAATTCATCGCCGCATTTACTGGTTTAAATTTTTTTTTTTTTTTTGCAACAGGAAGTTTTAGAAGTTCGATCCAAGTAAAGCTCAAACGATGCATACACATTTTTTTTTTTTGTGTAGCGTGTTGAAATTTCAGTGGTAGTCACAAAATTGATGTTTGGAGGTAACTACTGATCAAAATTACAGTTTGAGGTTAATAATTAATGGGCAAGATCAAACTACCACTCACTCAAGAAATTTCCTACGCAATTTGAAGAAAAAATTTTTCATAATGTTCGAATATAAGTGTTTCGTTTGTTATCCCACTACTATGTAATCTTTCTATACCATCGTAACAGAACTCGCAAAATATAAACACCTTATTTATTCGATGTTTAACATGTAATATGCTGTATTACCTCGAATAAGCTTCCAAGCTCGAATAAGCGCCCTTCCCCGAATAAGCGCCCACTCTCTGAGACAAAATTTCAACTTTTGATAAACGCATCCCCCCCAATAAGAACTCTTTAGTTTAGCCTTTGACTACAGCGGAGTCAGCACAGAAAAACTTGTTTCTTTGCTTTTTTCTTTCTTCTACATATTTGTATCTCCATGTGCTTGCCGAGTCCCTTTATGTGCTGAATCTGTTGTTTTAATTTTTGTCTTGCTGCTGTGCTCTCGGTAATGCCGTAAACTTCCCTGGCATGACCAGACCATTCTATAGCCTTCGATGACCAATAATGTATAAGATAATAGAGTTATTGGAATGCATTTGAAGAAAACAGTTGATAAGGAATGATAGGTCAGTTAGATTACGACCAACAAGCTTTAACCTATCAGCACCATGAACATGCTTGACTTTGTGAGTTCCAATTACATTTTCCTCATACTTCTTGGCTTATTCCCTGTCGTCTTTTTTAGCAAATAAGAGAGTCTTTCTCCTTTGTTTAAACAAACGAAATATGTAAAAATTTACTTTACGTCCACGTAGCTAATGTTGTAGTTTTTGTTTTTTCTATTTAAGATTAAGCCAAAATAAAGTTACAACCCGTTGAAATGAATACTTACTGGCACCACTCTCAATTAAGTGCCCTCCCTTAAAGAAGCGTCCCTCCCGTCTCCTTTTTGGCCGAAATTCTAGACTAGACCGAATGAAATGCGAGCAATGGGCAAAATATCCTGGCATATTACATGTTAAACCATTAATTAAGAGGTATCAGAAGCATGTAAGTGATCTGCTTCTTCATGCATTTATTAACCCCTATTTATTCAGTTTGAACAAAATTTAGTTAAGTCTTACTCCAGAGTATCCGAGAAAATTTATTTCCCTAAAGATCTTCTTTCCGGTTTTTTTCTGTCTCTTTTTATCTCAAACAGGCAACGACTGCTCCAGCTTCCCTTCAGTAATCAGTTTCAGTAAACTAGTTACTGATCACGTGCTTGAGGGCCGCGTCATATCAACTGTCCACGTGACAAGTGATCAAGAATGTCAAATGAAATGCATCTTGAGTGAAATATGTGACAGCTTCAATCTTGGACCACAAACTGCCTCCAGACTTTATCCCTGTGAAATACTAGATCAGCGATCGAGCAGAAAGGTGATTAAGAGGGAACAGTGGAAATTCCGGGCGCGATGGGTGAGTGGATAATTCTTTGCAGATATTGAGTTGAGTCGTTGCAATTGTCTTATTATCAATTGCAATATTTTTTTTTTTTTAATTTGTAGTGCCGGACCTCTCCGTGTCTGAATGGTGGTACATGTTTTGTCGTAAACGATCGACCACTCTGCGTCTGCGCAAAGTTTTGGGAAGGTGCTACTTGCAACGTGCCTCAACATAGTAAGTTCTTACAATTTCTTTGTCAATGAACAAATGATGGTCTCAACAAAAAAAAATTATGCTTCCCTTAATGAATCTCATCTGCCTCTGCACACAGACGATGAGTGATTCCCAAGACTTTACGAGTGATTTAATAATTCTGAGAAGAATGTAAATGTAAATGAAAAAGTTGCGTGCTTCTGATTGGCTGAAAACGAGTGCATTCTCATTTAACGCGAGTGCAAAGTTACAACACGAGTGAAAAGTTGTAACATGAGTGCAAAATTACAAATAGCCGCGCAAGCTTTCAAAATTTCGTCTGCCTTGACTTTTTGTGATGTTTTTTCGTGTACATTATTAAAAAGTGATGACATAATTTCTCTTGAAATTTGGTATAATAAGCACTTTTTCAAAGGCTAAAAATTGTATTTGCCCTACAGGCTCGTGCAATTTTGTTGTCTTTGAAAATTTTTCGTGCTTATTAACACCAAATTGCACTCGAAATCATGTTATAACCCATACTTTACTAGTATCATTACAAACAGAAGTTTATGACCTAGACTAGATTATAAGGTCAGGTACCAAATGTTGTAAAAAAAAGGAATAAGTAAAAAAAACTCTAACCTGTTACTACTCTTCATTCTTTTAAGAAACATCTTGCAGTGAATGGAAGGCTTTAAAACCTTTATCTGTGAGCGGGTTTTATTTCATCTCTCCTGGCTATCAAAAAGGGTTGACACCTTTCTTAGTCTACTGTGACATGACTGACAAAAATGGAGTTGGCGTGACAGTTATCGGTCACGATAGCGAGAAGAGAACCCTTGTAAACGGTTGTGAACCTCATGGATGCTATTCACGGGATGTGCACTATCTAAATGCCAGTCTGCTACAGTTGTCAAGCCTCGCTGCTTTGTCAAGCCATTGTGAACAATTTATCAAATATGAGTGTGTTGGTTCCAGCTTGCTTTTTCGGGGCTGGTGGGTGTCACACAATGGTATTAAGATGAATTACTGGGGTGGGGCAACTCCAGGAAGTGGTAAATGTGCATGCGGAATGAATAAGACTTGTTACGATTCGACAAAGCCGTGCAATTGTAACGCAAATATACCAGACGTAATGCTAGAGGACAGCGGCTTGTTAACAGACAAGACAGCTCTTCCTGTGAGTCAGTTGAGATTCGGCGACACAGGCGGTACGGGTGAACAAGGATGGCACACTCTCGGAAAGCTCTACTGTTACGGAGTCTCTTAACTAATCAAAAAAGGAAAACATATCTTCCCACGTTCAGATTTTTTAAACAAACTTGAAGCTCCTCAAGAACTGAGACAACATTATGGATTGTAAAGTCTCTACGCACGTGGCTTATATCCATCTTATATGAGCAGCCCGCTGACACGATAATTAATCCCTCGTGTGTGATTTTTCCCATGAATTGTTGTGATGTCAGCCGCCATCAAATCTGACCAATCAGTGCGTATAACAGAAAGACTTAAGCTGAAGGAGTATTACAGCAGCTCTTTCTTACTGCTCTAATTTCATTAAGTGAACAGATTCCTCTAGTCTTTTTAGCGATAGATTACAGAGGACGACAATGTGCTGCACCTCCCCCTGTGCGCAACTTTTTGCCTCTTACCACAATTTGACGTCATCTGTTATCTATGACTGTACAGATGTACGGCAACTTGCAATCGGTTTGTTGAAAAAATTTACCTATTGCCGTCTTTTCATTTTTCTAAGAATCATCCTGCAGTGAATGGAAGGCTCCTAACTCCTCAGCTCTTTCTCAGTTTAATGTAACTCGACAGACAAGGATGGAGTTAGCGCGACAGTTGGAAGTCACGACAGCGATAAGAAAACCAGTGTTAAAGGGTGTGATGATCTGGGGAGTTATTCACGTGATGTGCACTATCTAAATACCATGTCTGCTGCAGTTGGGAAGCCTCGCTGCCATGTCAAATTATTGTAAGCATTTTGTTACATATGAGTGTGATGGCTCTAGATTGTTTGGTTAGGGCTGGTGGGTGTCACGTAACCGCACAAAGATGAACTACTCGGGTGGGGCATTCCCAGGAAGTGGTAAATGTGTATGCGAAATGAATGATACTTGTCACAATTCTGACAAGCCGTACAATTGTAGCGCGAATATAGATGGAAACGAACTGGAGGATAGCCGACAGAGGCTTGTTGACAGACAAGTTGGCTCTTCCTGTGAGTCAGCTGAGATTCGGTGACGCAGAAGAAGGAAATAACCAAGGATGGTACACTCACGGAAAGCTCTACTGTAGCAGCTGAGTAACACCAACACGAAAATAATTGAAGTTATATTGAACATCAATGTTTCTTCATCTGAATTAAATTAGTATTCAGGTACTTCACAGCATCATGATGAAATATACCAAGGGGGTGAAAAAAGGCCAGTGTAGAAGACACGAATTACGTAATTAAGGATTTATGGCTTAAAGAGAAGTAACTGCCAGGATCATAGAAATACAACCAGGATCTTGTATGGTTAATATCTTTACAACACGAAAGTACCATTAATTTAACTTCTTCCGTTGAGGAATTGCAAAACCATCTCTTCCATAGTCAATTTTACCTACTCTTATCAGTTAACAGTTCACTCGCCATAGTTCAATAGCTCTTTTAGAAACGTAGGATTACTTGATGTTTAATGAAACTAAAACAATTGCCTCGATCGAAGCTCTCGGGGTAATAACCATTTGTAACTTTAAATGGGAGAATCGTGTAAAAATATTCTCCATTTGCTACAGTAGTTGAAATTAAAATGTCGCTTTTAGTTTTTTTTTCTTCTTTTAAACTGCGGTCCAGTAAGATTAGTTCTGGAAAGCGCACGTCATTTTTTTCACTACAGCCTTTCTTGCTGTTCCTCAGAGGACTCATACTCCGCTATAGGTGTTCATTGGGTATAATTTCCCCAGTTTTAATTGAAGTGTAGAGGCGTGTGAACAGGCCGAAATTCAGCTGATAAATGTGATCTGCTATCTAAGAGCCTTTTAAACGATGAATTAACAAATCACGAGGGATTGATATAATGCAAGTCAGTAATCATTGGCCATTCTTCAAGTACATTATCTTTATAGTTTATTATTTCACATACGGCACTAGCAAGTCTAAAACTTTACACTTGTTAGCTCAGGCTAGCAGGTATTGACTTTTGAGTGGGTAATAACCACTGTGCACGCTCTAAATCGAGTTGCTTGCAGTAGATAAGAAGGAAATGAGTTTTGTTAATTATCCTTTTGTAAGATTATTAAAATTTGCCTATTGTCATCATGACTATTATAAACAAAACAAAGTGTTACCTTTATTTTTCCCTTTTAAGTTGACGTCACTACCCAAACCTGCTATTATTCGTTTTTCTCTATTCCTTTCTAGCAGCAGGAAATAACGTCATTCACAGAATGACCACGATAGACGTACTAATTAATTGAACACGCGTACAGAAAATGTTCCGTCAGAAACAAAAAAACGCTGTAATGTGCTGTCCATTTTAATTGTTATCTTGATTTCAAACGGTACTTACATACAGCAGTACAGTGAGGATATATATTTGTCGAATGATTTTCAACCCTTGTTTTTACGTTTCGGTTGAGTGATTTCTTCGATGTTAATACTCAGCATGGAAACTCATCTGTTTTTTTTTTTTTTGGGTCATGCCGACTGAAAATCACTTAAGGACTTCGCTAAAGTACATATTTTAACTTGTTGCTATAATTTCAAATAAATTTACCACTGGTATAAAAAGTATCACCCAAAAAAATCCTTAAAATACGAAATCCTAGTTGAACGCACAAACAAAATTGCCATGGTTACGCTGCATGGCTCCAGAAGATAACATGCATTATATGTTAATTGTCGAAAAAATATACATAGTGATCACGAACTAGAAAGATCGGTATTGCAAGGCGAAATATTCAATGTTAATACTATCACCGGAGTTATTAATTTACAAACGTGCTGATAGATGGGAGCTGGAAGCTCAAGAAAAAATCTTCGGGTTGTAGCCACTGATTCCGTCAGAGTTAGCACTGTTCAAACCAATAACAATATCGAGATAAAAGGTACGAACGCGGAAAACCACGGCGAAGTTTTGGAGCCAACAGAATCTCAAAACGAAGACATGGAAGATAGACGTACATCGGGTAAATACAATGTCAAAACCGTGGCAGTAAGCGAAGGCTTAGAAAAGCTAAAAGAACAAATCGCTACAACGATCGATGATCAACACAACCGAGGAGAAGACGTCGGCGAGGACGAGTCAAGCATGATACTAACTTCATTCATTGAAAAAAATCCGAAACTTGAAGAAGCGTTGAAGAAGACAAGAGATCACTACAAGGGATTGAAAGAAGCGTTCGCTAATGGAATTCTAGCGACAGAAGAGGTAGAAGAACACATAAAAGGCCTTTTCAGTGGTTATACTAACCAGCACAAGCCGGCGAAAGCTGTGTTAACAGATTTCACTGTGCGCCTAGGTCTTCCAAAGCTTGCATACGACATCATCACTGATCGAAGGAATAATTGTCCAGAACTAACAACATGGGATAGAGAAACAAGTACAGAAAAACAACCTGAGGAGAATGAAGCGTCAGCGAATGCAGAGAAAACGGTATATCGTTTTTTTTTCTCATCTCTTTTCACATGTAGTGATTCATTTGGCACGTGCAGGTCGTGCGAAGCGTAGCAACGGTATCTCGCTGTTAGACATACTCAGGTAACCACGTCATGTCTCCCGCAGGCAAGGATGGGGTTCTGACGATTTCCTCTGAAACCTTTCCCTTTCCCATGGCCCTCATGGAATAATTTTTTAGTTTTTTTTAACTCTATCACACTCCCAAATTTAAGTTTACGGTTAGATTAAATTTCTTCAAAAAATCCTTCTTTTTGTATCCTATTTCGTTTTGAATTTTTACAAGGTAAATATTTTGTATGAGTGTTGTCAGGAATCATGGATCGGTGAGTGTGTTTTCTAACATATGTAAATTTTTCAAGTGAGACTATAATTTAATTGCACAAGTCTTGTTGGATATGAGATGTTTCAGTCAAACTTAACCTCAAAACTTGCAGCACCCTTGTAAAACTTTCTTTTTATTTTCTAGGAATCTGAGAAAAATGACAAGAAGACATCGAACCCGTTAGAATTATTGCAAGATAATATCTGCCTGTTTTTGGGAGCCCTTCTGAATTATTCTGACTTACATGACGAGTTTTGCTTGGAGTGTAATGAAGTCGGTATGGTTCAGCTTTTTGTGGAGATGTCCAAAGAACTCCAAGATTCGATTCCACACAATGTGAAATATGTAGTAAGTACAGTTATGTAGTAAAATATAATGTAAATATCATCATTATGAATTAAATAATACTGAATTACAAAAAGCATTTTTCTCGTTGAAAACTACATGTAATGAAAACGGAAACTTATATAGGCTTTTGAATACATGTGCAAGTATATTTGTACTTCCGCTATCAAGCCAGAGCGAATAGCAATAAATGTTGATAAATGGGTAATAGGAGGGAGGGGTAGGACTGGAACTCACTTGAGAGGGATCTTGATTAAGAGGGTGTTATGGCTTATTCGGGTTCTTACGATGACACGGAATAGTTATTGTACCAATTGATTCTTTACGTCTTTCTTTGGATTAGTCACTCTTGTTTAAGAGACCAAAGTAACAGTAATACGCTCGCTTGCCAGCCATTGTTCGGAAAATGAGTCTGCGTTTCTCAACCAAAGCTCCTTATCTGACGGATCCGAGAAAGGCAGATATCAAGCTTATAACAGTAAGCGCCTTGCCTTTATCAACATAATCGAAGCCCTCATTACAGGCTTCGACGGGTTTCGAACCCATGCCTCTTGTTGGGCGCCACTACCAACTGAGCTACGGAACCATACGTTGAGAGCAAGGCACACTTAGAGGTTAAATCCTGCTACAAGGAATCATGTATTTACCAGTGCTTCCATCTTTTTTAACAGGAACCTAAAACACAACGTCTAAAGAAGTTCACAGTGCGGGGAAAAATGTTGTCCAGGAGCTTGGGGACTCTTCACAATTTCTCGAAACGTGTACCAACAAGGGCAAACTTTACTTCTGCCCAGGCGGTGAACTCGTTGCTTCTGCCACTTCTTAAAGCTGAAATCACGTTTTACAGTGCTAAGAGCCTACTTATATTGGCGTACCTGATTGATGAACAAAATAACCATTTGATCATGGCGGATGAAGGTATGAAAATTTTTATAAGTAAGCTGTCAGTAAAAGCCCTTTTTCTTTCTCGTGCCACCAAACATTTGAAAGATGATAAATACTATAGCCTCTATTTATAATGATAATTGCACTGAGTGGAGTGCAATTTGGGCTGAAATCATACGCATGATCTCAAAATCGAACGAGTGCGCAGCGCGAGTTCGATTTGAAATCACAAGTATGATTTCAGACCAAAATTGCACGACACGAGGTTCAATTACCACTTTATTAAATCCGTTTTGAAATCGCCCAAATACAGGACTTGGTCAGTTCAAATGTTATATTTATGCAGTACTGAGCCGGTCTGAAATTAAATTCATGTCCATTTTTTTGGGGGGAAAAAGTAAGAGTTAAGAAACAAAAGTTGCAAAATTTGCCACATGATACTCTTTGTCTTTCATTTTCCTGCAATTTGATCGGTTACTTTAAACAAGCCTTAAAATCTGATTGGTTGTTTTGTTTTTAGTGTAGCCGCCTCGTTGGCTGGGGAAAAGATGCGATTTAAAGCGAAAAATGGTGCGATTCATGAATAAATCGCATCAATTAGAGCCAATCAGATTACAGGAACCACCACTGATTTCAAAATGGGTGTAATAAAAAGCAAAATTAGGCTCTCAAACTTGCCTTGGAAATCATATTACTGTTTCTTGAATCTCAAAGTTTCCTTAAACCTCGCCCAATGGAAAATTGTTTTCTCCATCCCGCAGATTTGCCTATGAATTTTTTTCGCAACAATTAAATGAAGGCGTATGTTTCTGTCCCTAGTCGTTCGATTTCATCAGTCGTGTAAATGGATTAATGTATGTCTAAGACAAATTTAAATTTATTATTACATGGAAGAAATAATTTTGCCATTTGGTTACGGATCGCCTCTGTTATTGAAGTGTAATCCGGCATTCCTACCCCCACCTCCTCCCTCTCCGAACCATCACTTATTCTCTCACCTTTCAACTAAAAATTTTTTCTTCCGGTTTTATGTCTAACTCCTGGAACAAGTTCGTGCTAAATGAAAATTAAACAAAGTGGCTGTCTAGTATATGATAATTATTTACTTTAAATTTTGCATCTCAACTTTAACAGTCTCATTTCAGAACCAATCAATTTTCTCATACGATTGCTGAGAAAGGCCATAGAGACAGATTACCATAGATATCTAGGATTTTCTGCCCGAGAACTTGCTGAAGGACTGACGCAAATTGCAATCAACGATAACAACAAGAAAACGGTAACTGTTAGCAGTTGATCATTTATTTTCTTAGATATCGTTGTTTTGGGGATTTTCGTCAACCCTAAGTCGTACATCTTTAACTAGAGGAATTTTCAGTGTTCGCCTCTCAGTGGCTTCGTGATGGGAATATTTTCGGTTTTTCCTTTGTGACTACTTCGACGTTGGTTTTACCACGCTCAATCGAAAAGTACTTACGAGTACTTTAGAGGAGTGGGAATTTTTAAGGCAATGCTACAAAGTTTCCAGGCGATCACGTGTGTCATTTAAATGGCCTTGAACTCCTCTTGGCCGCTTTACAAGCAAAAACTCTTTAACCCTTTAACTCCTCATCATGATTTTTCCGATTGAGATCATGAGAATAAAGGAAATGACCACAAAACTAAAAAGCTTTGATTGTTAAAAAAATTATCCTTGCCAGCACCAAGGGAAATGTACAGAGAACATGAAGAATATGTGTAATGATGTTGCCCGATGTTAGGGTGTAAAGCGTTTAATAAAAATAAAAAAATAATTAAATACCTTAGAGACCAATTGCATTTTCCAGTCCCTTGGGAAGAGGAATAGGTTTTTCCTTGAGTCCTAATTGGCTTCTTTTACACGACTCTTTAAACACGTAATGCTTTCATTCCCATCGTGTTTGAATAAAGAATCTTACTTACATATTTGAAATATATTCCTTTATTGTAACCGGCTTTCCTGATTTACTTAGTTTTAGTTTTACGACGTTCAGTCGAAATGGGAAAGGATAAATCAAATTCTGTAAATCTGAAAATCATTGCTAGGTTTTCTTTGATCGGATCTGTAAGTTTTCACTCAGCGGGGTTTGACCAGATCATTCTCTAAGAATCCTTTAACTTGGCCTTGTTCGTGACTGATATGAGCTGGTGTATATGAAAACTTTAAACATTCTATGGATTTCAGCTTCTTCAGACTTTTAAGTATTGAATATGATAAATATCACTTTATTGTTAGATTGTTAGATCTGGAGCCATTCCAATTCTAGTCAAGATGCTTGAAAACGCCAAAGATGACGAGGAGAGAGTGAATGCCTGTAACACTTTGTGGACGTTGGCGTTCGACGAGGAAAACAAGAAAGAAATCAAAAAGGACGCGCATGCCTCAGCAGAATTACAGAAACTTCTGACATCGACTAACAATGAAGTGAAAAAAGCTGCTGCTGGCACATTGTGGGAAATCGAAGGAAAAGAAAAACATGCAGAGGATAAACAACAGTCAGTTAAAGAGTCAGGTGAGTATGCGCAGCTTGGGATGACAATTCGACTACAATGATGGTGTTCATAGACTCAGAAATAACCTTATATAACGAAATTTCTCCCTAATAAAACTAGCTTGCGAGTAGGTCCTCATTATCAGCACTGATGGACGCGCCGCGCCGGCGAGGAGATTTGAGGTTAGCCAGAAGTCTGGCTCTAATATAAAGAGGCGCTTGACCCCTTGCAGACCCACACTCTCGCCGGCTGCGTTGCTCACATTTTATTACGGGTGAAAAAACATTTATGCTGAAGTTCTAATAATGAAGCCTGCTCGCAGGTTATGATTAAACGAAATTTCCCCCTGATTATGTGTGAAATGCTTATGTAATAGAAATAACTGTAGGATCGAAGAGGTGAAATCAGAACACAATTAAGGTATGATATAATTCATTACTGTTGTTATTCTTTAATGTGCTCTCTAGACGCCAAGCACGTGATGATCAGTTATCAATGGGATGTACAAAAGCTCGTGATTCAGATCAAAAACAAACTTCAGGCGGACGGCTTCAAGGTTTGGATGGACATCGATGAAATGGGTGGCTCCACTCTGGAAAGTATGGCCAGGGCTGTGGAAAATGCAAGTGTGATATTAGTCTGTGTGTCTCAGAAATACAAGGAGAGTCCTAACTGTCGATCAGGTAATGATGAAAACTGCTTCGCAACGTTCGCAGGATTTTTTCATATAGCATCATTGATTATAGAAATCTTAGCATTTTACCGGCTTTTTAGAATTGTGGTTAGCCTGTATTTACAAAACAATTCCTGCAATAATTACAATATTATCGGGCGCAAATCATGCGTGCATTACTCGAAGGTGATTAAGAAAGGATATTCGGAGGTTGAGTAGCCAATCAGAGTACGTCTTCAACGTTTTCCACCATAAAGAGTTTCTAAAGCTGCGGTTTCGAGCCTTAAATCTTTGTTAGAAACGAAAATAGCCCAGACCCATCCGGCCACATGGTAATGTTGTATTTTCTCATGGGTATAGTTTGAATGTGCAACAACGCATAAATTAGATCAGAGGGACTACTGAGAGAGGGAAAGGAAGCTAATGAAAGGAACTCGGTATTACATTTATAAGTTTGAGCTGATTTCAATATTCGAAGCTGAATGCGAGTTTTCAAAAAAATTCGTAGAGGATTTTTTAGATAGTCCAAATGATGAAAGGAAGTTGGGGAATGCGAGGTGAATACACTACTCCCCTTGAATACTCCTCGTTAAGCTGTGATTGTTCGAAACCAGTTTAAAAGACTGATATTAGGGCATTGAAAAAATCTGGAGTTCAAATGATAGAAGGAAGGGTGCAATGCAGCATAGAAAATCCTGTTTCCATGCTAACAATATAAGACCTGACGTCTCATTAAAAAAGACTTACCCATGCCTAGTTTGTAGCCTCACCCCTTTGTCTTCCTCCATTGGTTCCAACATGACCAATCCTTTGGAGGTATTTGAACACGTTGAATACATTCTCTAGAGATAACTAGACAATAATTATACTGGAGTTTTTGACGAAGTTGTATTTCGTTTAATAATGTATGTAGAGGCAGAGTACACATATCAGCTTCACAAAGACATCATCCCTTTGATGATGGATGGTAAATACAGACCTGATGGTTGGCTCGGCTTCATAGTGGGATCCAAATTCTGGATTGACTTCAGCGAAAAACATAAACTGGACTCTAATGTGAGCAAACTTGTGAAAGAATTGGGGACCAGGGGAAAAATTGAACTTCAAGAAAATACTGTGAAAGGTATGATTAAACCAAAACTGCTTTACTTGGTCGTTTGAGTTATAATCGTAACCAGGGCTGACTGTCCACCATCTTCACTCGATTCGAAGGCTGAGGAGAGCAAATATGTCTCTAATGTCCTGAAGGCGAATGGCTATACGAAACCTTTTCTCCGTAACTGCCAAAAATCAGTTACAACTGGTAGCACTCCTGATGAAAGGGAACCAGCGACTGATTTTGTAGTTATTCCTTGCATACAGGGTGTTACGGAACCCATCCAGATAATTTTGAATAGCCACAACGTTAAAGTTACTCAAAAACCTTTTCAGAATTTGGGGCACATTTTTGCCAAACCTAACGAAAGAACAACGAACCGTCGCCATTTATTCTATTCCCTACAATGACTGCGATAACGAGTATATCGGACGGACCAAACGTCAGTTCGGTACACGTTTGAAAGAACATTAAAAAGCGGTTTCTTTTGCAAACAAGAAAATTCAGCTTTATTCGAGCACACATGCCTAACTAACCATACAATTGGGTGGGGCAAGTCTAAAAGTATTACCACTAATCGGCGTTACCACCACAGCGCCTTTGTTTGGAGGCCTGGAATATGAAGGCACTAGACAAGAGTGTCGAAACGTTGGGTCTATGAATTGTAACTTCACGGTTACATTCATTAAATCTTCAGACCAGAGTAGCATCAGACTATGTCTGAAGGAACTACTTTTTATGATTACTCGTTATATTTGGTAATTATCCGTCAGATGCCCAGACAATTCCAACTCCTAGAGACGACAACTGATTTACTCTCTTTTCTGTTTTATTTATTTATTTATTTTTTATGTAGCCACAGTTCTGGATGTTGTTGACGCCTCACCACAGTCTACTATCAGATCGTGGACGTGTAGTGATGTGAAAACCTGGCTCAAGAATGTTGGACTGAGAGACAGGTGAATAGTACAGTGTTTTTTATTCTTATCCCGATTCCCAAAGCGTTAAGAGATGTTGAGCATTGTTACTCTCCCCTGGGAAATGAAATGGAGTGGCATACCCCCAGCTATTACGTCAGCTTTCGACAACTTCCTCCTGAGCTCTTTCCTCTTGGTTCTTTGGAGCCTGGAACGAGGCTGAGGTTTCGCTAATATTTGCTTTTCACTTTTGCCAACTTTTGCTACTGGTGACAAAGGGGCACTATAAAGCTAATCAACGTTTTTAGCTTCTGAAACAATTTGCTTTTTAGGTTGGATTCCAACACTTTAAAAAGGCTAAATGGT